CCCTTTTGGCTGCGATTGGAGAAAGCATTGTTCCTGGTCGACATGTAATAATATGTCCCTATTCCAGTTACCATCCTTGGTCCCAGGTCAAAGTATGTTCCTGCATCGTCTAGTAAGGAGATTTCCCCATGAAGTTGATCTGAAGAATTGAATCAAACGGTTTGATCTGTTTTTATAGTAACAATGATAGTAGGAAAAGCAACAATAACAACAGCAAAAAGCATTAGTTACCCTGAACAACATGAGCAACAGAAGCACCCAGTAACAACAACAGACAATAAGAATGACAATAATAGCAACGACAATGACAAGCAGTCAAAAAACAGCAACACCCTTGTTACGTCAATAGTCTCTCGATGACTTACTTGGCCGCACAAGAGCGAGATTCTTAAGATCGTTTTCACTAAATCCCAGGAAAGAAGCGGTAGATATGTTAGCTGGATAACTTCTTGACCACTCGTTGTATCGTAATGGGACCACATTGGATCTGTCTGTACCAAGCAAGCCTTGGCCATCGTTACCTCGGTCATTGGTGTTGGAACCAGTCCACCTAAAATAGATATTTCACTATTAGCATTGAGCCCACAAGCTATCACATACTGAAGGCTTTGAATGGTATGGCACACCATAACACTTACTGGTAATGGTACAACACTTACTGGTAACGGTRCAACACTTACTRGTAATGGTACAACAMTTACTGGTAATGGTACAACACTTACTGGTAATGGTACAACACTTACTGGAAGTGGACGTATTCACCAGGAGACATCACAAGTGTRTTAGGTACAAAGTCATACTCAACCGATGGGAACACTTCCACGATGTTGCCTCGTTTACCGCGCACATTTACGTTGTGAATCKTTTTGCCTTTGAGACTTGCAGGTCGCTTACGAATGGAGAAGACGTGTGTTCTGCATAGAAAAAAGTAAAATAGATGTATATAAGCCGTATTTGTTTATTCTCAATCATTTCACAAAAAGTCCAAAAATCGTGGTGCTTTACCTGTCCTGGAAAGTTCTTCCAAAGTTTCCAGTATYAACATTTACACGGAGTTTAAAGTTAGGAGCACCATTGAATATTTGWACATCTGGATTTCCTCGTAGAATATAGCCTCGCTTTGTTGCTGTGTTAAAATCCAGATCAAAGCGAGCTCCAACATTAAGCTTA